CAGAAATAGCTAGGATAGCGCGGCAGAATCCGGTTTTGTGACTTTTTTACCTCCGTTTTGCGACCAAAGACCAAGGTTCGAAACGACGTCGGAATAATTTACGTTAACATCCTAAATTTGACCGGAGCCGTGGCACCGTGTGTAATTGAACGGTTCGACCCCCGTCCCGTCGTGTCCCGATTATCGTTCATTGTGTCCCGATTGATTCTCGGGAATATCGGGCCTCGCGATACGTCCACGCTTTTTAACCTTCTTCGATCCCATTATCGGTCGATAAATGACAGACGAGATTCAACGATCGGATTATCAACCGTTGACGTCGCAGATCGGACGATGCAAAAAGGATGGAAAAAGGAGAATCGAGTTCGTAATGTCGTTTCATAGATACTCGCCCATCGAAAGATTTTTAACACTTTGCACTCGAGAGGCGCCTCTTGGTCGAAATTTAATTCGATTCTAAAGATGGATGCTAATTAATATATTAAATTTACAATTACCCAACGATGCGTGGAATATCGAAGTAAAATATTCCTATGTTTTATTATTATTATTATTTACCGTTTCAAAAATATCGTCGACCTTATGGCAGAAAGTGTTCGAATCACTATTTTCTTTTGACGAAAAAATCGCCGAGTGCAGAGGGTTAATGTCGTTTCATAGATACTCGCCCATCGAAAAATTTTTAACCCTTTGCACTCGTCGTCATTTAATCCGATTCTAAAGAAGGATGTTAATTAATATATCAAATTTACAATTACCCAAGATTGCGTGGAATATCGAAGTAAAATAATTCTACGTTTTATTATTATTATTATTATTATTATTTCAAAAATATCGTCGATCTTATGGCAGAAAGTCTTCGAATTACTAGTTTCATGTAACGAAGAAATCGCCAAGTGCAAAGGGTTAATGTCGTTTCATAGATACTCGCCCATCGAAAGATTTTTAACCCTTTGCACTCGAGAGCCGCCTCTTGGTCGCCATTTAATCAGATTCTAAAGATGGATGCTAATTAATATATCAAATTTACAATTACCCAAGGATGCGTGGAATATCGAAGGAAAATAATTCTACGTTTTATTATTATTATTATTATTATTTACCGTTTCAAAAATATCGTCGAGCTTATGGCAGAAAATGTTCGAATCACTATTTTCTTTTAACGAAAAAATCGCCGAGTGCAGAGGGTTAATGTCGTTTCATAGATACTCGTCCATCGAAAGATTTTTAACGTCGTCGATGATAAAAGCTACACGGATTGCGTAACGCGGAAACGTTAAACGGGAAAGCTTGTGCCTTGTTCGTGTCGTGATTTCCTTCTGTAATGAGTGAATAATAACGAGCCACGGGTATCCTTCGCGATTGTGGAAAAATATAAAAATACACCGGAACGGATTGTCCTTTAAAATAGGATTTTAGCGACGTTTAATTAAGTTAGCATTTAATTAACCTCTGCACTTTGGAATCTTTCTTTATCACATCATTTTCGCACACTTCCTACTAGTGGCATAGTCTGAAATGAAAAATTCCGCTTCAGAGGAGAAAAAAATACGCGTGAACCGCGGCTGTTTATACGGTAACCTTATTCGCTGGCATTTTCGGAATGGGAGAGCTTTCGAAACGACAAGTTGCGCTTTTGAAAAGAAGAAATTACGTGGACCGTGTTTACTTATACCGTAACCTTATTCGCTATCGTATCTTTATCATGGAAAACAAAATTAAATAATAACTTGCGGATTATCAGCGCGTGTATACGTAATGACGCTAGTGAAGCGTAAAGTGTTACACTTGTATCTATATTTTCGAGTGCACAAGTGTATTTTGTTCTTGAGTATTCAACTGCGTTGTACTTTAAATTGCTTTCGATCATTTGTCAAATTCGCGATACAAACTCTGTTGGAATACCTATATAAATATTTAGGTACGCTTAAATTTGGGTACGTAAGTATTCGGTTTACATATCTGCCAAATGATTAGGTGAATAACGTTGAGGATTTTCGCGATGAAATATTTTTGTAAAAATTGTTGTAACCAGAAATTAACGAATTTTAAGAAAATAATCACGATGGCCTATTATATAGGATTTTGCGACCACCATGGGGTTCGGGACCCGCAGGTTGGGAATCCGGGTTCTGGGTTATCGTCTGATCGAATCGTGTATACGTGAAAGATGGAACGCGTGATGGAAAATCGAGGGAAAAAATGTAAAACAAACTTGTTTTTGACATGCTAGTATTTTCTCGTTCTCGTTATTTATGCATACTGTGAAAATGTCGGAAATGATAATAACTGTTCTTGCGAAAACAAAGGGGAATTACGGAATATTGTTACAGAATAAGAAATTATTAAAATGGATTAAATAATTACCGGATTTTTGTTCAATTTTTAAATACACTGTGTCTAAAAAGTATCGAGTATCTTTTCTGATGGAAATGAAAAATTACGAATTTTTATCCAATGTTACGGACTTTTAGAGTATGACAATTGTTTTTCTAAAAGGAATAAAAAATAAATGAAATGAAATATTTTAAATTTTGTATGGAATCATGTCGGTTCTGATGATTAAAATTGCACGATTGGAGCTAATTGATCGTGGAATTATTTTTTGGAATTTGTCGATCGACCGGTATATCTGGTCTGTATTAATCACACTGCTTCCATAAGCCTTTGCGTGTATTACAGACCATTACCACCACAGTGTCGCCTTTGTTCGATTCATAGGGCGTACAATGGTGAATACACTCTTTGCCAGGATCCATTGTAAGACTTTCTGAAAACCTTAATACAGAATGTAGTCCGTCGAACTTTTGAAATGGAACAAGGGAGACCTCGAAGTTTACCTAGGCAAATGTGCAACTAATTGACCCGCTTAGCGTTACTTCTACCATTCCATTCTTCCGCCATTATCTCGTGGGATGATCTCGAATCTGATCTTTTCGAAATCATTTCCAAGTTGCAAGAGGTCAAATTAAAAATTTTTTATTTCCATGCATTAAATAAAAATAGCTCGATTTCGACGTGTTAAATAAAAATTGCTCGACTTCAAAGCGTTAAATAAATTATTTCGCAATTTCGACGTGTTAAGTCAAAAACTTTTAATTTCGCGTGTTAAATTAAAAATTTATAATTTCCACCTAAAAGGTTGGCGATTTCCTTGTTTGTGCTTGATAAATTAAACACTATTTAATTTTGATGTATGATATAGAAAATTTTTAATTTCGGTGCGTGAAATAACAAATTTTCCAATTTTAACCTTTTTCAATCGAAAGTTTGTGAATTTGAGAAATTTTCGGAATATTTTACGATAGCGTGGGTTAAATTCGGAGTAATGATAGCGTAACGCGAACTTCGAACTTTCCGAAAAGTAAAAAAATTTACCAAATACTTGACCTAATAAACAGGTCGAACGAATTTCAGGAGCGAATAATTTTCAAGGAAGACGAGTAGAAATGTTCGAGTAAATGTATTCCGGAGGCAGCTTCAATTTTGACGAATAAGATTTACGGAAACATTTGTCCGAAATAAGTATTCGACGCACGGAGACCTGTTTATTCGGAGCAGATACGGGCCTGTATAGCTTGTACGAGCTTCATGGCGGAAACCGTCGAAATTTCGATGATAACGCTCCGACTAACGCTGTAGAGGCTCTATGGATGTGTTATGGAGATCTACGGCTGCATAGCAGGAAGTTTCAGTTCAGTGGAAATCAATGGGTATCGACACGTTTTCAACGAAACGACGTCCTAGTCTACCGAATATTCTCCGCGTAATTCAATCTCCATCAAACTGTACGAAAATTCGTAAACATCGAGAACATAACCTCTCCCTTCAACAGAATCGAACTAATTTTCCAATTCCTTTAAAATTATTCGAAACTAAAATTATAAATTCTATCGAATATCGAATTATACTTATCCCGGATATTTCTTACGATAAATTTAATATAATTTTTATACATTACGTAATATACATTCAAATATAACGTATAATTGGTAATAGAAATCGAAATATCATACTACGTAATAATTCGAACGACGTTTTTTCAAATTCCATTATTCGATCTATCTTAACCTAGTTTCTTTGGGCGGAATCAGCTGGCACCTATCAGTAAACCTCATTCCACATTCGGCGCCTGATAGTTCGCAATAAACGCGTTTACGTTTAGGGATAGGGAAGGAGCACGTTGTAAACAGGCATCGATGCACAGCTGAGAGGGGAACGAGCCGATTGGCGCGAAGACGACGAATACGAGACGGAGAATACACGACAGGAATTATCGACGCGCGCGACTCGAGTATACCGCTATACCAACTGTACGATCAAGGTCGCGAACGAGGGTCTTCCGTTATGTACGTTTAGGAAGTCGATGTGAATGCTTAAAGTCACCGTTATTCTGTTTATCGATAGCCACTAATTTCAAGAATCGCTCGTTTATCTCGAGTGCAGATCAATCGATAAGAAAGAGCTCGGCGATACGCTCGAGGACGTAAAGATACTCAATTCATCGAACGTTTCAAAGCATCGAGGTTGCTCTCGTCTCGCCTTCCATAGTTTATGCAATCGTTTTTAAAGAATGGAAATGAGAGGGATTCGCGTATCAGAAGTCCTTCGGGAAAGGGCAGTATCGATAACGATTCGCGTCTCGAACAGCGTGCCTCTGATAATCGAGTTTCTGTCAGTCTGCTGTCAAATATTCGTCAGTCACTTAGAGACGTAACTGTCACACAATCTCGGGGTGGTTCGCGAATTTTTCGTCGAATAAACGCGAGAGCGAACGAATTGGTCGAAATTGTGAAACACGGGAGGCATCGATGATTATTCGAAAGAAATGCGAATACGTAAATTAATCGAGACGCGTAGGATTACGTTTCCGAATGTGTCACGGACAGGTACAAGAATTTTTCATTGAAATTCCGTGAACGTGACGGGGACACGAGAGAAAGCGAGATGGAGGAACCGCGTGCTTAGTCGCGCCGACGCATCGTTTACAGCTCACTCACCTGCGAATCGTCCGCCTATCAGCGCTACTAAAGTTGGACTAAAATGCAACTTCAGGTGCTCGACAGGTTTCCCGTGAGTCGATGTCTCTTGTATGCGAGTCTGTCGATGCTGGTCTTTGTCCCTCTCGTCTATCGTCGAACGTTCACTGTTTCCTCTTCTTAGAAACGTCACCTCCGTTTTCTCGTTGTCGAGCTGGTCTCGTGAGCGCAGCTCCGAGCGAAAACCCGCCAAGACGTACGAGTATTTCGTCGCATTCGTGCACGAACAGTAACTGGCGGCCTTGTCATCGAAGCGATCAGTACGGTACCTGAGCGCGCGTGCACTCCAGCGAGCCGACTCGCATTTCGACCAATGAGAGCGTAGTACAACCGACGCCACGCGTGCGTGCGCTGTATACACTGTGGCGGCAATTTTTGAACGCCTCGTTTATTGAACGCTCGAGTTTATTGCGTGCTGTAACAATTTTATGTTACATTTAACAATTACGTCAGTTTATCTTCGAACTTCGTTCTTCTCCTATTAACTATAATTATAATATATGAACATGAATCGTCGTTTTGCAAATTATCATTGATGTATCTAAATTTATATTTATTTCCAATAATATATTTTTACAAAAATTGTTTATGAAGGAAAAGATGAAATACATAATACATTCAGTTGTATCCTGTATAAAAATGTGCATTACTTTTCCATATGAACGAGTTTGTAAGAATAATGTATTTTAACAATATGTGCATTTTATCTTTATAATTAATTATGCAGTGCATTGCACTTTTGAGAAATAATTTATACACAACGAGTTTATGAATCCCTGTAATTCATATGCTCACAGGAGAAACATATAACATTAAAAATTTAAAACATTTTTATCACACAACCTAACAGCTATAGGTTAGCTTACCATTTTCTTGTCACTTCCAACGTTATCAATTCAGCACGGAAAGAGATGACAACGCTACTAGTGGTTGGAACTGGAATGAAACTTAGGTAAGCTACTTTTGTAACAAAATACGTAATCTCTTTTACTTATCGTAAAATATACTAAATTATAACACACCAAAGATGTAAATATATGCAGCACAATAATAAAAAGGAAATTAAACAAATATAATTTCTAAATTAATCACTATTAATTTCAGACAATATGAAAATATTTCTCATAATTTTCGAGATGGTTTTTAAATTCGCAAAACAAGAAATAGTACATTAGGTTTGTATAATGTTTCTTCCGAGATGTAAATTTTCACGACTACACACATTTTGCTGCCAGATGGCAGGTGCTGCTCCATTCTTTCCGACTGACGGCGCAACTGTTATTTGAAACCTAATAGATCATTGCAATTTTTATTTCCACTGATATCTAAAAGAAATTTAAGTGAAAAATAAAAAAGAAATAAAGAAAAATTTAATCAAATGTAATTTTAATTTATAAACCCTTTTTATTTATATGAGCTCCTCTTTGTCGTTAAAGACGTCTATTTTGATTTTAATTTTATTAATTTATACCGTTTCTGTCGTGGAGATTATGCACTTTTTAATTTGTTATTTTCGTAACAGAAAAATTTGTATTTGCTTTTACGTTATTAGTAAATATAGGAGACATCGCTCGACATTCTACATCGATACTATAGCACATGGCTATTTCAAACGCGAAAGATTTTCCCGCCACAACAGCACATTACTTGTCCAACCGTAGCCAACAAGTCGATGTCGAATTGAACATATCGGTAACCACATTGTGGAATATTTTTGCGTGTCAAAGTGAAACATTTCGTGAATTAGTATTATCGATAATGGATGCTTTAATTACTGCAATTGATGAAATAAATATTCAAGAAAAATAATACACAATATCAGTTATTTCTTCGCAACATTGAACTGTATGTTACTTTTACAACTTTGCCGTAAGATTTACAAATTGATCACAGCACAAGTTTAAGAAATTGAGAGAGCTTTACCCAGATCAAGATATCTAACTACCAACATTTGTTCGATGGTAATATACCACAAGTTGACAAATGCGGGGGGACAAATAAAGTGGTACTCGCGATTCCAATCTAGCCTCTATGATACCAAAAGGTATCCTTTCGGAGGCCAAATTGATCTGCGAGTACTGCGTAGCTCTTAGCTTGGCATCGTTTGTCAAAGATGAACTTATGGAATACCTCGAAAATTACTAGGGAAAATTTATTCATATATATGCGGAAATACATCTTTGACAAACGATGCCAATTACCAGGTCTCACCACGTGGAGGTGGCTACGCAATCGAGACCCGTGCCTGCGACTGAAACAATCAAAACATTGTTAAAATATGGTATAAAACATAGAACAAGATATCATAGAAAATAAATTGAAAAATTAATTACAAAATAAATTTGAAGATCTACAACAGAAAGCAATACAGAATATAATATAAAATATACTTCATAATCAAATACAAAATAAATTAGAAAATAAATTACAAAGTAAATTTCAAAATGTAAGATACCTATAACTTGCAGCAAGGGAAGGGCAATTATTGGGGAATTTTTCGATTATTGGGGAATTCTTTCTTTTATTTGCGTTCCGTAAAAATCTCGCGAAATAATTTAAATTAATTAATTTTTAATTTCTATTTAGAATGGAAATTACAAATTTTTCTACAGGGATTTTAATACGCGTTGTATAAAAAAATTGTCGGATCATAGCTTGATCCAACAAATATATCAGAGAAATACATATTGCACGAGTGCTTTTGCACATTAGTACGTTAGCACTCGTGGTCATTATACTCGAAAATAATTAAATACAACCAGTCACCCGTGCCAATGGTCATAGGACCATTTGTCCTATGACATTATGGGTAACCAGAGGAATCGTAAACATGCGACTCACCGGTCGTTGCTCTCTTCTCCGTATTACAGCAGCTCTGGATTGACAGTCGCCTTCGTCCTGGCATCAGCGTCACAGTGTCCTTCCCTTGCTATGCCGTCGATGTAGCGGTGTCAACATTGGTTGAAATTCCTTCTTCCCTTCTTGGAACACTTTCAAAACTCACTCGCGATGTCGCGGACACGTACGAACTTACTTCGACCGGCATCGAGTAAAAGAAATCGCGTGTAAAATCGTTCGAACGTATACGATTTAGTAAAAGTACAGTAATAATTTAATAGTTATAAAAATTTTTAATATCCACTAACACCAACAAAATTAAAAGATTAAACGTAAAATATTTATTTAAGTATTAAGGAAATAATCAGAAATAAAAATAAAAAATAAATAAATAAAATAAATTATTAAGTGTTAAATATAGATAAATAAATTGTTTAAAAAGAAGAATTATTTAAAAAATTAATTAAATTATTAAAAGTAAAAAATAAATAAGTTAATTGAATAAATTATTAATAGTTACATATTAATAAATTAATTAAGTAAATTATTAAAAGCGAATAATAAATAAATTAATTGAATAAATTATTAATAGTTACATATTAATAAATTAATTAAGTAAATTATTAAAAGCGAATAATAAATAAATTAATTGAATAAATTATTAATAGTTACATATTAATAAATTAATTAAGTAAATTATTAAAAGCGAATAATAAATAAATTAATTGAATAAATTATTAATAGTTAAATATTAATAAATAAATTAAATAAATTATTAAATAATAAATAACTTAATAGAATAAATTATTAAAAGTGGAAAATGAAGAAATATAATTTAAATGCCTTAATTTAGACGGCTTAAGTTTAGATGTACGCGTTATGACGGCCGAAGAGCAAATGACATGTCCTGTGACCGCCAAGTGCCTATATGAACCGACGATATCCTTGACGAGGTCAAGCGGAAAGTCACGAGCTCAACCGATTTTTCAAAGATTCGTGAACCTTTTATAATAGTTATTACATAGTTTACTGCAAATACATTGTCCTTCTAACTCGCAATAACAATATGTACAGTAATTTACATATATACAATTATTTCTTCATATAGAATAAGCCATTTACTTCCTTGTAACAATAGTTTTTAATATACAAGTGTTTAAAACAACTTTTTAAAGTTAAAAAAGCGAATAGTGGGTAAAATTGATAATAACCAAAGGGATCCCCTATACCCCATACCCCTCACCCATCCTAAAATAAGCTAGAGTTCTCGTTATTTAACAAATTCCACGAATTTATAAACTTACATATAATATTTATATTATTTTAATTATATTATTTTACGAATAATCGTAATTATTCATTTCAATCGTTATATGAGTCTCTGACACCCCCAATCGATTGGCTCCAAAAAATAAAACGTAGAAAATTTTATATAAATAAAAGATAGTAAAATAAAAATGTCGTACCAGTAGTTGGTAAAATTTTAACCAGTTTATCAAACTTTCAAGTGTCTCTGAAATCGACTTCGTTTTTGGCCAAAGTCCTGATCACACACATATGGTTCTCCTATGAATCTGTTGTTCAATTTCTCGACATCCGCGTTCTCCCTGTCTACTTTCATCCACGTGGTTTGCTTTGTTTAATTAAAAATTACACATACAACTAATCTTTTTTATTTTATAAAAATTCATTTTTTCGAAGATATAAAATTACGTTTCTATCAATGAATATATATTAAACTATGTTTTTTATTATTTTCAAGTGACATGAATTAACGGTTTCGCTATTCCTCTGTTTCTAAATTTTGCTATTTCAATGATAGTTTGATCACCTCTTACGAAATACAATGTACTGTGAATTCAACTGTTTTCAAAACGATCTCTCGATATCTTCTTTGGCTTCGTCTTTGTGTCATAAATATCCATGAAAATGTATTGCTGTGCACGTGGCACGTTTCACTGTCAGTACATGAATGGAGTTCAATTCGAGGCATTAAAAACGAAATACAGAACCGACGAGGACATAGTTGTGCGATACACGATACAAGATAGAGTGAGTGAAACCTTATCGATCTCCTACACGATAACTAATTTCTCCTTGTGTTGTACATTATCATCGATAATTCAATTTTCCAGGTGCACACGTCAACGCGTGATTGGATCGGAATTTTTCCAAGAGGATGGACCAACCTACAGCAATATCTTACCTTCGAATACATTGTCCTGTCACCTAAGTCGTTGTTGCTGTCCACTCGTAGCATCATATTTTTACACACCTTTCATAAAGAGGTTATTAAATTACATAATATATAAATTTATCTTATTAATATTTAAATTACATAATATACAAATATATAAATTTATCTAGCAATTCGTCTTGAACTTTAAAAATTAAGAATTTATTTATATTTCCAAATTATCATTGCCGAAGTGTAAGTCTTGATTAAGTTATTAGAATTTATTAAAATTTACTATATTATCTTGTATTTCTATCTAATGATAATTTTATCCATTTTCCATTTCCTTCTACCCTTATTCAAAACTCCGAACAGGCATTACCAAACGTCGATTATCAATTCGTTTACGTGAGCAGAGAGATAGAGATCCTCGGGACCAGCTCCTATTTCCGTTTCATCCTGGCGCCGAATTTTCACCCGATCGTTCGAAACTCGAGTACACCAGGGGTAAGTTCAGCCTGTAACAGGGTATCTGCAATTTCTTGTTGGTCCCTGAAAATGTATCCCGTAGCAGCTAAGAATCGAACGGAATTTTTCAGCGTGATGTTGTCAACAACGTTCGTCTACCTTCGATCATGTCGCCGTCCAGTAACGTGGGAAAAGCGATCGGATCTAGTAAATCCATCGACAATATCCAATCCTATCGTGTCAGTCGGGCATTCGCGGATCAGCGTCAGAGAACATGTCGATTTTGTTCGAAATCGGCATCGTTCACGACGAATAAGGTAAAATGGCTTTGTTTCGACTCTTTCTATTCCCTATTTTCATTCTATCTTATCATTTTATCCTATTTCATTTTAATTTACTTCATATGTTATATTTATATACGATAATTCGACTTTGAATCGTGATTAGGTGCTGCAACTACTAAAATTAATCGATACTGTAATGAAAAGAGAAAAGATGATTACAATTTGGAGTATTGGAGTGAAACAGAGATTTAGGTTGATTAACGCGTTAAATGCCACGCCGGTTTTACGAGCCGTTTCATTCACGCCATAGTTAGTCGCCATGCGGGGCCCTCCCGGGCCGTATGGACCGGCGAGGTCTGAACGGAAAGTTCCTAGGGACCGGCGAGGCCTGAATGAAAACTTCCTAGGGACCGGCGAGGCCTGAACGGAAGGTCCCTAGGGACCGGCGAGACCAGAACGGAAAGTCCCTAGGGACGAGCGAGGCCTGAATGGAAAGTTCCTAGTGATCGGCGAGGTCTGAACGAAAAGTCCCTAGGGACGAGCGAGGCCTGAACGGAAAGTTCCTAGGGACCGGCGTGGCGTTTAACGTGTGAAGCTTTATCTAATACAGTTTGCTACCACTTGGAATTGAAATTTCGATTCCTGAATTTGAGTTAAAATTCAAGTTTAAACGATATCAGGTACAGTTTCTGCTGTTGCACAATGAGCAGTTAGCAGCGAGAGTGAACCGGTTGACTCGCGATTTGGAGCTGACAGAGGCGGCTGTGAGGAGCGAAAAAATGGCAAGAGCAGCTTCGAACAAAAGATTGCAAGCTTACGAGACGTTCGTCGCGGATATGTTCAAATGCTTGAACCTCACTGGGACTGTGAAGATCATGGATAAAGCAGGAAGAGAGGTATCAACTCCATATCCAATTTTTCTTCGTTCTTTCAAATATTAATAACAACACTTTGCCATGCTATTAGCTCCGTCAGCTGTACGTTTTACACGGGATTAAACCGTAAACCAGCTCGAGTAACGAATCACTTTAGGCTTCACCCAGTGGAAGATTTTAATATTAAAGTATCACGGTGATACAAGTGCGAAAATAACGATTACTCTCGATGCAGATCATCGTGCAGGAAGTGAAACGGAAGAATCTACCACCGACGCGAGACGAGTCGGGTGACAAGTCTGTTCCAATTCTGGAAGTCTCCATGTCGAATCGACCCTCTGCGATGAAAGAGAAGAACGAAGAAACGAACTCGAACGAAGTGGAAAATATTCCTCGAGTATCGGTAAAGCTGATTCTGCGAACGAGAAATTACGAGAAAGAGCGTAAAATGGCTCGTTAAAAGGATGATTTTCGCAAACAGAGTTCCTTCCGAGAAAATAACAGAGTGGGCAAAGATTGGGAGGAAGACGCAGATTATTCGATGAAAGCGGAGATAAATACGAACGAGGACGAGAAAAATTTGGAGATCACGATGTCGGTAGAGGAGGAAGAAGTTCAGTTCCAAAAGAAGGTTTCGTTAACGTCGATAGAAGTGAGGGAGAGTCGTGAGAACCATCGGTAAGGCAAGGGCTGCACTAGAGATCGCAAATTCCCCAGAACGTTGTTTAATAATTCCAGCGGTGGTTACGTAACGAAAGAGGCCACGGGCACAACAAACCAACGAGAAGATACTATATACAGAGTCACCTGTAATATCGAACAGCCAAACTGTGTCGAGGACAAGCCAGAAGACGCGAAAAGCGGCATCTATGACAAGAAAATGGCGGAGTATTCCTCGGCAACCGTGAACTGCTCCAAGTGTTGCTGCGATTGGCATTTGAACGCGGCCAAGGCACATTGCGAGAATAAGGGATTCGATAACGATAACTCGAATGGTAGGTAACGAGATCGATGTCTATGGATAGATCGAAAGTTTCGATTTTGTTGATTTTGTTCGATTTTTCTTCGAGATTGGGCGCTGCAATGCGAATGCGACTTGGAGGTGTCCGATGACATCTATCGGATGATCGACAACTACGCGGAACCAAATTGCAGTACCGTAGAACCGATCAAGGGTGCCCTATCCGCGATTCTGATCAAGGGCAGAAACGCGAAATTCTCTGTCATCAAGTAATCTCTATTTTTACATCTCAGATTTCAAATTTCAGAATTTTCCTTTACTTCTTTTACGCGTTGTACCGTCGAATTCGAGATTTCAAGCATTACGTGTCACGTGGTGACGAAGTGCTAAAATAATCCTCCGACGAATGTGCCTCGATACACAAAAGAAAAGGCTTCGATTACTTCTCTATTATAAGAAAACAAATGCTCGATATGAATCACCGCCGCAAATACGTGTTGCAGGTATTAACGCACACGATTAAACGGACAACTGAAAAACAAGTCCCCTCTTGCGAAATCTCGTTGTTTCAATTCTCCTCGGAGCAATCGCTTGGCTGGCGCTATCGAGGAAGCGATGTAAATAACGAAAGACTGATCATTTCCATAATCGTTCTTACACCTAACCTCTTCTTGTATTATACCGAAGCTTCAATAAATTCGTTGGAACAATGCTGCTTATCACTTACATCGTCGGGGCCTCACGTGGCCTTGGAAATCGTCACATTTCAGATTGCAATTTTACGGTGCAGTGTCCCCGAATTATTTTTAAGTTTGGTGGCTTATTCCGACGCGTAGAGGAGACAAAAGTTGCGCGAATCTAGCCAAGATGACTGCGTCTCTAGAGAGGCAACTGTCGTCCATTTTGTGACACCGAGGTTATAATGTCCGCGTTCGGATCGCGGACGGAACGGGTCCAATTGGTCGGGGAATAAAATAGGTGGCTTATCGATTCCTTTATTTACTATGGCGCCATGGTGACAGGAAGGTGTCGCCGCGGAGGAAGTCAAGATGCTTCTGCTCGCGAGCACGTGTACCGCTGCGTCGAAGCGTTCGGAAAACTGACTAAATATAGAGTAGGAGCGGCGCTATTGTTAGGTCGCGCGAGTTTTCGTGGCTTCAAGCTTCTCCCTCGCGTCTTCCGAAGGCGTCATGGGGCTTCTCGCGAATTTACGACGTCAGGAAATTCGCCAAACCAACCATCGAGCTTACGCCGATAAGCATTTCCTGTGTTTTCCATCGCGCAGCTCCTACGCAGTTTTCTCTGGCATAATTCTCCACTTTCTCGCGTTTACGCTTCTAAACGATCATCGCAGTTGTTCCCTCGTTACAACGAATGATGCAAATTCGGGGAAATAAATCGTTCTTTGGTCGCGAATAACTCGTATACTCGATGCGATTTGAGAATTAATTGATTCTTTCAACGAGATTTTACCGATACGTGTGAGTCGAGTTATATTTTTTCAAACAGGTACCTTTACGGTCACTACAACTGTTTCAACAGAATTTTTATTAATGTTAACCGTTTCTTCCAATCCATAAATATTTTCTGTTCATCCACTCATTTTAAGCATAGTATATTGTATCTTTTATTGGCCAATAACAACTCCAGATGACTCTGTACTATATTATTATTTTTCTTGTTATCAAAGGATTGTTACCCTTATACTTAAGATAAATAAATAAATAAATAAATAAATATTTTATATCGCGTTATTGGAAACTCGATATGGAGACCGAAACGATGCAATTAAATTTTGTTAAGGATGCAGTAACATGCGTTTATTATAAATTCCGTCCAAAAGAATTTAGTTATCGTAGTTTTACGATCTATTATTTAGCAATTAATTTATTATTTCACTCGCGATAAAGGATAAGAAAAGGTTATGTCCGTTCGTCTCAAAAGAATTTCGCTCATGCAGCCAAGAAAATTTCCCATGCTCTTTTTACAATTTCACCTCGACATATAGAAAACCAAAATAAAAGCACTTGTCGTTTAAGAAATCGCGGAATCCTTTCTAACAGCCAATCGCAATGAAAATTCAATTTTCCATGCACTTTTTATAATTTCATCCCGATTATAGAAAATCAAAATAAAAGAACGTGTCATTTACGAAATGGCGTAATTCTTTTCAACAGCCACTACTTCGCAGAGAGAATGTGTTGTATTTATTATCATATTTAAATAATTTATTATCATAATCAACGGGGACCAATTGTCCAAAAACCGATCACCGCAGCGATCCAGGAAGTTTACCGAGCCGGAGTACCGGCTTTCTAGATCACACGGAAGTGGCGAGCGCGCATGCGCGAGATCCGAGGCGAGCGCTCGGACGTCCTCGCGCACGCGGTCTTTCGAAACGGTATTTTTAGAGAAGTGAGTCGCTGGCCGCAAGCGGCAACGTTAGTCAAGTGTCGCCGTTGACCCTAAGGAAATCGAACCCTGCGAACTATCCACGATTCGGATGACCACCGGTGAGTCCAGTCGCTTGCACGATCGTCGGCTCCTCCATCGCGAGAGATCCTCCCCTCAGTGTCGCCATCTACCGCGTCCATCGTCCTCCCCGATCGCGTGGACGTCGCGATTCCGTTGCAAAGTTTCGCAATTTCGCCCGGTTTTCACGCAACTCCCGCATTCGTGACGCGTCTCGCACGTAACTACGATCCACGAAACGTTGCAGACGTTTTCAAATTATACGACGATAGATTCGAAGCGGCGCGTCGTGGCGCTCTTACGCGTCTAAATTTGGATTTTTTTCCGCTCGGTACATCTATTTATGATGTATTTACGGCATCGGGCAGACTCGTGTTCGCGTTTCTTTCGGCCGATCTTATGTCTCAGCGACGTTGATCGCTCGTGTCGAAAGCTCGGTTCGATTATCACCGTGTCAGTGATCCGTTATCGTCGTCTAACTCGATCCATCGTTCCTGTCGGACGGTCTCGTGCGTATTTCCACCCTACTCTCCTCTCTCGTGGTAGTCTCGGAGTGGGTCCAGGCTCCGTCGTGGTCTTCTGGTTAAACTTGCTCAACGTCTCGAGCCACGAGGAATCCGATTCAGACGGCTGGTTCTTTGTTTTCGTTCGTTCCTGAGAGGAAATGCGCGGCCGTTCTCGATCGAGTTATATTTAAGCATATTTACATCGCGCCTCGTATTGCGCGGAGAGACTCGACGGCACGCGAGTCATAAAGCTTCTTCGAGGATTCCCTGCAGTAAAAGTGCTACCTTTGATCTCAGGCAGGCGGGATAGGAGGAATTTCGAACGTCGAAACGTCTCCGAGCGCGATTTGTTTCCGTACGAAACAACAAACTGCCGTTTGCCTCTTGCTCAACCGGCTCGACCCTTTCACTCGTCGCCAGTCTTCTCGCCGGTTCAGATTAATGCAGAATTTTAAAATAAAAGATCCAGACCGATCTGTCTTCTAAAAATACCAGCTGACCCGCTCGCACTTTTTTCAACAACATCTAACAAGTTCCACGGGGGGTAATCGAGACTTTAAGTATTGCAGGAACATAGAAATAGCTGGTCTCGGTATTGTAGTTTCCTTTCGTAAATTGATAACGCTGGAAATTGAGGGCCAAAGGGGGGTAGTTAACGAAGCATGCACGAAGTATATACGAAGCTTCGCGATTTCGCGAGGTACCACGGCTCGAATTTCGCGAAAGCTTGGAGATCTCGAAAGTGGAGAGGGGGGACGTTGAAAAATTCTAATAATAAAAGGTGGAGCATCGTAGACTCGATAAATAGACTCCAGAGGCTGAGTTTAGACTCGACGATGGAGACCTGCCTTCGCGAAAGTCTAGAATTTCGTTTAGCAGAATTTTTGAAAACGTAGAAAGAAAAACCAAAAAGAATTTCCAAGATGATCTAGAAATTTTTTAATTCTTTAATTTACAACTTTCGATAGTCGTCGCTCTTTAACTATCAAAAACTCTTACTAACGATTGACATCATGATCTTCCAATAGAATTTTGACACCTAACATCGTTGGAAAAGATTGGAAAATTTAAATAAAATTCTATTTTACGATACTAGCTCTCTTTCCCCCGAAATAGATATTCTTCGTCCCAAATATATTTAAATCAAATTCACAAACCATAGTTACTCGTTATCATCCAAAAAATATGAGGAAATATTCTGAAATTATAAAAATCGTTCCAGATACCTTACCCCGATCGTTTCGAGTGAGAGCAACCGATCTTCCGGCGACGTGGACGAGGAGATTAGCGTGTCCAGTGGAATAAGCGGAGCATGGGCGCGGCTGGCAGTAGTAACGGCGCAGCGTCGCCGTCGGCCCCATGGAGGGGCCGGGGCGAGGAGACGTTCGCCTACGGGACAGAGGAATCCTGCTGTCCGGAATACGCGAACGAAAATATACGACAAAGGACGAGGACCAGCGCGTTCGACGTGGGTGAAGAACCTCGATCGCAGGTTAAATATAAAACGAATATTTATCGTTGCGTCTCGGTAGCTTGGCCGAGACGGCCAGCCGCGTGAAAACGCGCCGTTTCGTATCTCGCATTTTATTTCAATTCCGTTGCAGGGTCCGAGTCCTTACGCGACCTTCACTGGCGAAGAATGGTGGAGTCAAAGACCATCAGCGCCGAGTTTGTCGAACTTGCGACCCCCTCGCCGAGAAACTTTGGTAAGCTCTGCCTCTCTTTGTTCCGAGCTCTGCGGTTGCTCGACTGTGCAGTCGATCGACTCGCGAAAATATACCCTCGTCCGAGTGAATCGTGAATATACTCGTCGAGTATTCGCTGCACTGGAATTCCCGGATTGTCACACGGATATTGTATGGTAGAAAGTAGAACGTAAACAAGACCGTAAATAATGGGAAAGAATTCTGTTTGTATCGGGGCTGAATCGGGAGGAACATGCAGATCCGAGAGCAAGGAATGCGGTGACAATGAAGATTCCTTTATCTCCAGATCTTATGACAACGAGTAGACAGACCTCGTTAGGTGAGAATTTGAAGAATTTATTTTGGAGACAGAAGAAGGTATATTGGTACATACTGACTCGTAGAATACCCAAAATCTAGACTCAATCTGAAAAGACTATCGGAATACTAGATATCTAGGTTCCTGTGACACTAACCTGTAACAAATAAGTAAAACAGAGAACCCAATGACAATTTCACTAATGGCTATAGCAACGATCTAGAGCTACCTTAAAATATAGACGAAGGACGTTATAATAGAGCATTACAGTACAACAGTTATGCGATAAATTGAATACGAGGCTCCGAGTAGCATATTCAAATTCTCAACCTGGTTAACTAAATAATCAGAAATTAATGGAAGCAGGGAACCTAATAGCAACGATCAGGAGTTCATCTAAATCAATCACAGTCTAAGATACCAAACCAAGTCACAATTCTCAAAATCTCCACCAATTTTTTGACAAGTCCTACAAGTGTCTCCATCCTTACTCACGGAGGCGCATAAATCTCTCCTGTATGACTCAAGCAGAGACCCGACAGATCTCTCGGAATCCCATTACTCGGTGGCGAAAAGAGATGATCGGTATACAATAATACTTCTTGCATCACCGTCTATTAAAAGCACTGATAAAACCGTAATCGCGAGTCCGTTTCGCCTTCCTGGAAACTACTCCTGCGCGTGTTCCACGGGGCCCAGACGATGGAGCGACTCAGGGCGCAGGGGAACATCTTTTGTTCGATAAGCGTGGCGACGCAGATGAAAATTTTCCGTGGCTAGCTCTTTTGTCCCGCGGAAAATCTGGCCGGAATCCAAACTCTTGGCGATTTCGGGAGAACACGCTGAGTCACGGCCACCGTGGCGAGGCGAGTTCGCAGCCATCGATCGCGATCACGTGCCCCGGGTCTCGAGCTTCTTCGAGGAACGCACGGTCCCTAGTGCCAGTGCACTCTCGTGGATCGTTCGACGTGGATCGAGCTTCGCGAAAGCTCCACGACGATCGATCGTTACAACAGTCGGTCCTTCGTGTTGCCATTGCATGGATACGCGAACCCCGAGACGCTTCAGGATTCTAGTCAGACTGAAGAGAGGCTGAGCAAGCGCATCGCGATCTTTTTGGCAACCACTGCTACTGTTTCCCCGTGAGTTCTTGCACGTCGTAGAATCTGTTGCTCCTTTCCTTCGTGGATAGTCGGTGGAACGAAACTTGGTAAGCTGCGAGGAGATACGAGTGGATTATAAGTGGTTTGGGTATTCGTTGCCCTTTGGATCTTCTTGTGGACATAATTCCGTGTTTTCCTTAATCTTTCACAATTTTTATTTTCTTTATTCGCTATTAAATATTGGAGTGTTATTTAATATTATTGGCAACAATTTAAATTCTCCCGAAATGTCTGCTAGTTTGATTTACACTCACCCTGCACTCGTGTGTAACCTCTTAGCGTCTGCAGTGTTCCTTCTATCCACATTTCCATCGTTATTCGACCCGTTAAAATAAAGAGAATACTCCGCAATTCGAACTCTCCTAAAATGTCTATTCGTTTGATTTCGAGGTGATACGAGTGGATTATGAGTGACTTATGAGGCAAATTGGGTATTCGTTGCTCTTTGGATCTTCTTGTCGATATAATTCCGTGTTTTCTTTAATCTTCTCCATTTTTATTTGTTTTATTAGGTATTAAATATTGGAGTATTATTGGATGTTATTGTCAGCAATTCGAACTCTCCTAAATTGTCTGCTAGTTTGATTTACACTCATCCTGCACTCGTGTATAACCTCTCAGCGTCTACAGTGTTCCTTCTAGTCACATGTACCTCGTTATTAGTCCCGTTAAAATAAAGAAGAGAATTTTGTTTCTGGTAAAGTATTCTAAATTCGTGGGTTTGCAAATATTAATAAATAGCCAAGAGTATATAAGACGACAGTGACAGCCGAACTGAATGAAATACAGCGAATGGCGTGCAATATTCGTGACGCAAGTGCAAAGTCCACACTGGTCGATCCAAGCGCGTCAACAGACCCCGAAAACACGATTCGGATCAAAGCGTCCCACGAGGTCTCACAATTCCCGATTTTTCTCATCCTCTCTGTACCTTCGGCGCCTGAAACCGACGTAACGCAGTGACGCAAAGATGCCGGAGCGCAATGCAAAGAAAGCAAGCCGGCTCGCGTAACCATTCCTTGAACCAGAATTCCGATCGTCGATCGGGTCGGTTCAATTAGCCCCTCTGAAATTAGTCCATTTATTTATATTGCAGTTGACGTACGCGGCGCAGATGACAGGTTGGCAGACGGCCGAGGGGCACGGCCCTTCGTTCTCTCAGCAGCACCAAGAGGCCATGGAGCTGTCGAAAGTAATCTCGCAGCTAGCGATGGCCAACCAGCAGCTGGCTTCTGCGCACACCGCCACTCTCGCGCACTTGGAGGCACTGTACGTGGAATTAGCGAAAGAGAAGGAACTCAGAAGACGAGCAGTCTCCACGGAAACACTGGACGATGCTCTGAAGAAGAGACTGACGATCGAGGACGACAGAGACTACGAGGACGAGCAGAAGAGACGAAGAATGGAGGCCAGGATCGACAGACTGGAGAACCTGTTTACCGATGGCTGGGACACCTGTCAGTACGGACAGAGGGATGTTCGACAGGAAGAGGACAGGAAGCTTCGGTCGAGGGTAGAGAGGCTAGAGGCAATGGCGAAGTTCAGAGGACTCGACAGGGACGACGAACGACAGAGGTTTACGAATGTCTGTGATTCGGTGGAGATTCAGGACTCTGGTCGTCGACAGACGAACGATGTTCCGTGCGATAGGCTTGCGAATAGCATCGAAGTACCTGAACACGAATTTAATACGCAAAGCGTGACGGAGGAGGCTCGGGCGAAGATTATTTCTAGAATAAGCGTCGCGGACGAGGAAGAGCTCGAGGACTCGAGGCTCGACGACGTGGCGGATCGCGCGATGGCGAATTTGCATTTAGAAAATTCGGAAGAGGTAGAACGTAGGACGGAGGACGAGAAGGGGCAGAGTTGGGGCGAGAAGGAAGAGATCGGATCGTGGAGGGAGCTCGAGAGATTGAAGGCCGAGTTGGCGGAGTACCAGGGTGAGAACGAGAGGCTGGTGAAAGACTTGGAGGAGCAGAGGGCGACGGTGAGTCGACTGACGAAGGATTGCGAGGTAAATTTCATCGTGTTTGTCCGTTTCTCTCGATCGAAGAGAGAAGCTTGTTTCACTTTGTTTTTCGGGATATTTTATTCATCCGCGAGGGATAATTGTTTTGCAGGAGTCGAAAGCGCGATGCGCGGAAATGGAATCCGATTTGCAGGGGCACAGAGAGGAGTACGAGGTGTTGAAGATCAGATTCGACATGGCCACGAAGGGAACGGACACGCTGTTGAAGGAGATAGACGAGTTCGTGATGCAGAAGCACATTGCCGAAACGAGGATCGCCGGGCTCGAGTACGATCTGCAGAAGTCGTTGATGGAGAACGAGAAAATAAAAAAGATCGAGGGCCAGAAGGCTGCGGAATTAAAGG